TGATTAGCAGAAGCCGATGTTGGAGGAAGACAAGATAGTTGTACTTGTTTCGTGTATTTTTTACAGAAGATACATATCTATATTTATCTATACAATCAATTTTTTTTGGAGCTCCTTAACAGCAAGGAGAAAGCGAATTCCTGTTGTGATTATTGTTTGAGGTGCAGAATCAATTTCTGCAATCAATCAAATCTTTTTTTTCAAATAATTTTAATACTGATGTTTTACCCCTTCTGAACATTGCTGATGTAGTATCGCAGCCGGTTATCGCATGTAAAAATAAGATATGGTTTTGGCATTTTGGATAAGCAGATAAGCTTTTTGAAGAATATATTTCTGTTCGCTGTTGAGCCGTTCCAGGTTTTAAAAGGTATATAATTTTATCAATTGGAGTCCTTGCAGTGAGTAGTATTAATAAGTCAACATCTTCACCAACTACAATAGTTGTATTTGTTGCATTAAATTGTTCTGTTGCTGTTTCAATTATAAGGACATCTGCGTCATTTTGACTAAGGGACTGAGTTTATTTTGAGTGTATATTCTCAGAATAGTATAGTTTACACACACAAGAGACACAAATAGGCATTTTTACTTGCATTAAGTGCCTGACTATGTATATACGTGGCATATTTTATGTGCATATCATGTAGAACGTGACTCCTTCAACTTTTAGAATCGCGATATCTCAGGAATGGTGATTCTTAGAAAAAAAGTATAACAGCGATTTTTGTAGATAATTTTTAGATCTATAATTTTTGTCTGAGCTACTTTTTTGATAAAACTTACCGTTTTCGAAAAAATCCAAAAAACCTCAAATTTTGACATTTGACCCCGAATAACTTTTTTAGCACACATGGGATCGATGGGGACTTTTGACACTTTATTTCTAATGGTGTATCCAAGGTCTCCACCAAAATTAGGTCTGTCGGAATTTTCGTTATTTGACCACTATTTTTATGACTAATTTGACCGGACTATATACAGGTTATTACAAAAACTAGGTCAGGCCGTCAACTACAGACCCTTTTGGTGAAAATAATGGGCCTTTCTTATGCCATTTTTCATTTAGGTTTTTATTTTTCAAGGTATAAGGGGTCAAAATTAAAATTAGAATAAATTTGTATTAATAATTAAGGCTTTTTTCAAATATTCATCGTTATTATGATTTTTAGTACAAGAAGTCATTGCGTGAAGGAAGATTTAGTACCCATTGCCCCATTTATTTATTTTATAAATTAACAAAAAAGACGAAGTTGGCCATAGCTAAAAACAAAATGCTCTATTAAACATCATTTTGCTCTTCGAGATCTTTAAATGTTAGAAATACTGACTACCAACAGCAATATCACAATTGCGAATTCGAAAAATTAAAAATTTGTGAGCATGTTTGAAAAACTATAATTTTATTAAATGAAACTTTTATTCAAATTATGGAAAAGGGAGGAAATAACATTAAAAAGGAAATTAAAGGAGTTTACTAATTGAAAATGAAAGTAGATAAACAAATACATGTCAAATTGTGACATTTTAGTAAAAAATACATAGTTTTGAAAAAATAAAAAAGATATCTTTCGAAGTGTCAACAAAAGTGTACACAAGGTACATACACTCTGAAAAGTGTTTTTATATTTAGTCAAATTGCACTGTTCATTGTGAGATACCAACATTATAGGCAAAATAAATTTATTAAAAGGCAACCGATTAACCGATCTTTGTGGAGCAGTACTATTTTTTAATTGAATTTACAGCGTTGCAAAGTACAAAAAAAACTGTATTAAAACTTAACGTGTTTTTAGACCCTGGGATCCACAAGGTTTTTTTGATAAAATGATAAAACCCTTTGAAAGTACAATAAATAAGATAAAAATGACACGGGCAAACAATAATTATACGCACTGGAAAATATTTCACAGTAGATTATTTTGATTATTATCAATTATTGTGGTTTTGCAAAAACGTCTGGGTTCAAATCATCAATGTGGCGAAAAAGTATATCAAATTCGCTATTTTGTTTTACTTTCATTATTAATGCCTTAGTTCGCACGTAATCAATAAACATTTTAGGAACAAATTGTTTACCAAATAATCGAGAGTTAAGCTCACTTTCTCCTGTTTTAACAATGATTTTTTCCCGAAACAATAAACCTAGGATTAATTGTTTTGACACACTTCTAACACTTTGCGTATTGTTCAAGGAACAGTTTAATTAACTATCCGTATTGTTTTCGAAAGAACTAGCTGGATTCATTTGACAAGACGAAGCCGCAAAATGTGAAACATATAGGTACCTACAATCATAAATTGAAAGCTCTTTTCCTCTATAAATCATTTTACCAAACACTATTTTGATAACATGTGAAAGCTATTAACCGAAGCGAACTGTTACTTATTTTCTCTATATTATGAATATGGCGTAAGTATTTTTTTATTTTTTCATTAATTAGTTATAGAAGAACTGAAGAAGAAATCAACAATGATACGCGACAAAACACTTTCGCTGTCGAATTAATTAGCAAAAAATGCAACATGTCGTGCGGTTACCACATTTTTATTTTCACTANGAACAAATTGTTTACCAAATAATCGAGAGTTAAGCTCACTTTCTCCTGTTTTAACAATGATTTTTTCCCGAAACAATAAACCTAGGATTAATTGTTTTGACACACTTCTAACACTTTGCGTATTGTTCAAGGAACAGTTTAATTAACTATCCGTATTGTTTTCGAAAGAACTAGCTGGATTCATTTGACAAGACGAAGCCGCAAAATGTGAAACATATAGGTACCTACAATCATAAATTGAAAGCTCTTTTCCTCTATAAATCATTTTACCAAACACTATTTTGATAACATGTGAAAGCTATTAACCGAAGCGAACTGTTACTTATTTTCTCTATATTATGAATATGGCGTAAGTATTTTTTTATTTTTTCATTAATTAGTTATAGAAGAACTGAAGAAGAAATCAACAATGATACGCGACAAAACACTTTCGCTGTCGAATTAATTAGCAAAAAATGCAACATGTCGTGCGGTTACCACATTTTTATTTTCACTACTGATGTGATATATGTTGAGGTTAAAACCGGTAAAGGCTTTCTATTTAGGTGATCTATCTTAAGTGACCCCAGAGCATGGGGGTTATTTCAAAGGGAATGTAGTGAATGATGAAATAAATCTATTTTAAATCTTTCAGCAGATGAAGAAATCTAAATTTATTGAACCAGATTGTTTTAATATTTTGTTGGATAAGCATACCACCTATATTTTAAATTCAACTACGCTGAACACAGAAACCGTTATAGTTGTTGATTAGGCCTGTAGTTATTATTTTTATTACTTCAGAATATATGTAGAGCGTGCATACTCTTTTCTGTTTGAATTAATTTACATTTAAATTTATTCTTCATTTAAATAATTCGTCATTTGTAAATTAATTCCTATCCACAAAAAAAGCAATTAAAAAGTAATTATTTATTCAAAAATCTAACAAACTGAAATACACAACGTGAGTTTTCTTTACGGTGCATTTCATCCATGTCATACTAGCGTATCTTTTATAAAAATTAAAAGTAAAATCATATTCTCTGTATATTTTTTAATTTGCGAGATATATCTAAGAGACACAAACTTTATCTTATGCATTTTTTTCATATAGTGACATATTTTTTAAGATTTATACATTGTTGCAACATGCAGATCAAAGTTAGCCATAGTTGGCCATGCTTTTACAAAAAATGAAAAAACTACAGTTGTGGATATTACAGATGGTGAATATGTTTTAGAAGAATGAGGACACACATCTAGTTTTTGTTTAACCCACCGACAATATAAATTTGTATTTTTCTTCATAACCAGCTATATACCACAACGGCAGCAAATTCTGTTTAATAGTGCATTTGTTTTTAGTAATAGTCAACTCTATCCCTTTTATTAATTTAGAAAAAAAAAACAGCTATAGCTTTTTAATGTTTAAAATAGGTACCTATGAAAAACTATATTTTTGGAAAGCACAGAACACCCTGGTTTTAAGTAGGACAACTACGGTTTCTATTATGAAAATTGCAACTTTAAAAACCAGATTTTACCTAAACGGGACGATCAGATAAACGTCCATATTTCAGCTACTGCGGATCTAATATATCAACATTTTTATTTTGTGACAATAACTTCAAAACTAAAAAAGAAATCGAGAATCTCGAGAAGAACATCACAATTTTCAATCTCTAATAATAATCCAGATAACACGACACTGAAAATCAGAAAGGTGACTCAAATCTAATGGTTGGCCATTATTACAAGAAAACGGAAAGAGCAAATAGAAAACCGCTAACCGGAATTTTTCATGGCATGATGATGTAAGTACATATTTGACTTAAAATTCCATTTTGGTAAGTTTAACGGATAGGGATGGTGATGTCACCGAAATTATATTTTTCAATTTCACGTCATATGAAAATTCTCATATTCCTGAACAAGTTTTATTAAAAAAGTTTTCCGATAGCCCTTCCCGATCAAAAGGTATAAAATCAAATGCATAGAGAAAAACACTGGTTCTATCAAGTCTCTTAATGATACTGATTACATCAACGTTGCCGTGGAAAACAAGTATCAATATTTTTATTCATTACTGACATACATCGTTTGTTTCTTTAAAATTTGAAATCTTCCCCAAAAATCAGAATCATCAATTCTTCCATTGATCAATATTTTTTTTAATAAATGTAGTAAAATAATAAATGTTTAAAATACTTTACTTGTTAAACGTAAAGAAATATCTATGAAAATATGAAAGATAATTTGACTTATGATAATTATGACGTCACAGACCTGAGGATGGTAAACTTACCAAGATCCCCGTTTGAGATCTCCTATCTGCTTTTCCGTTTTCCTGTAACGGCGGCATCATCAGTTTGAAATCCCCATGTATTTTTCCGAATTATTGTTTGTTCCATGCTTTATACTTTTGTTCTTTGTTCTGTTGCAGATGTTTTTCCAGTCATGGGACATTGCCAAGACGCCTACATAAATGCCATTTGGGCATTCACGTTGCTTCTGTTGACATCAACCACGAAAGGTAATTTCGAGTAAATTTTGTTAAATATTTTATATAATAACCGTAACGCATTAAAAAATGGTATTACTCGTATTACGTTATTAGATCAAAACAGAACCATTGAACGTGAGCGTAAAATTTGTAATTACAGTAATCAAGTTGTCTCATCCTAGATATTACAACAGTGAAGAATTTCAGTTTCAATTTCAAAGAAAGAACAAATTATCCCAAAAAACTTAACCAACGCTTTGTTTTGGCTTGAGGTTGTAATTTATAATTTGCAGCTTAAATATTTTTTGATGATACTTAATGTGTGGGTGTAGTGTATTGGCCTTCTAGTCACTTCGAATTCGTTGGCAGGTGGATAGAGTTAGTCGAGCGAAAGATGCCCAGCACCGTAGTTCCTTCCTCTGGTTACGATTAACATTTTTACTCCTTTAAGTCACCTCCACACTCAAGACAACGTTCCCTGCGAAGGCCGATCGAAATCGCTTCTTCTATTCTAGATAATGCATATATTTGGTAATTTACAATTGTATAAATTCCAAGATCTTTTCTATAAATTATCTTTTCTACAAAATGTTATCTAAACTTAAACCTAAAATACTTATACACTAGTCAACAAACAGTGGTGAGTGGAGTGGAAAATTTAACTAATTCTGTAACTTAATAAATAAAGGTTTGTTGCAAAATTCCTGAAACACGATAATTTCTATTTTCAATGGTGAATATTACAAAGAGGTTTGTTTTTTTTTAAATGGAAGGGTAGGTTGATTATTTTGAAGCTTTTTCAATTGCAAATGCAATTATGTACTCTTTTATTACTTTTTATAAGCAACGTGTCGAAAAAAAATAAAATAAGGAAATGTGTACTGAAACTACTTTAAAGCAAAACATGTTCAAAGTGCCCTCTACCTTGTTGCTGACAATACCCTGATTCTTTGTTGAAGCTCGGCGATGTCGTTAGGTTTAGTAGCATAAACTTTGCTTTTTATATATCCCCTTAAAAAAATCTAATGGGGTAAGATTGGGTAATCTTGCTGGCCACTCAATTGGGTCCTTTCATCCAATCCACATAACCGGAAACACTTCGTTGAGATAGGTCCGTACATTTTCAGCAAAACGTGGTGGTGCCCCGTCTTGTTGAAACCATATCCGTTGGTCAAATAAATCGTGATCCAAATTATTGGGGAATAAAACCGCTAAAGCGGGAACCAGTTCATTTTGGAGCATGCTTGTCCGGTTGCATTTTCATTGAAAAATACAGGACCTACTATGCGATCTCCAAAAATTCCAGCCCTGACGATTGATTTTTATGAGGCCTTTGTGTATGACATTCACGCATCCAGTGGGGATTTTCATCAGCCCAACAACGGTAGTTGTGCCTATATTAGCGTACCCATGTAATGTGAACGTAGCTTCATCGGAAAATAGCACCCTTTAAAATAAAAAATTAATCAACCTACCCATTTAAAAAAAAGTTGAAGGTAGCTGCAGCCCCCCACTACTGGAACTTTATGAAAAATTTTGAGAGAAATACAAAAAATGCTGTGTGTGCTCTTGATTATGTTAATTGGGAAAAAATATTTTGGAAATATTTGTGCAACCTATTTCGAGGTTATTAAACTGTGACTACTTTAATTTTTTTAGTAGGTATGTACTATGTACCCTATTTGAACTATTTTTTTTTAAAACTGAATAAGTTCCTGTTTTAAAATATTCAGGTCAGGCTACGCTTTAAATATATATCATTAGGTTATCTTATTTTCATTAACTTTTCACGTTTCATTGACGTACTAAATTGCTACTCTATAATACTATGTTCACAAAGCTTATACACATTATGTTATCCGTGGCTTAAAAAATGTAAATATTAATTATTTTACCTTCGGGGCATATAATTTCCAATTTAACCGCTCCAGATAGAACTTAAAAAGGCCTATACGCTGCACTCGAACTACTTTCACACATTTCTAGCAAATAAAAGACCATAAAAATGCGAAACTAATTATGATTTCTGCGGAAAACTAACTACATCCTTTCGTTTCGATGCAAATGATTGGTTATTATGAGAAATCGTGCATTCGATATAAATGTGTAATATGTAGTTATCCAGAAATAGTTCAGAAACAGAAAAAATAATGTGAAATTTCTAAATTTCTCTTTGGAATACATTAAAATTATTGTCTTGACTTTTTACAAAAATTATTAGGTATAACCGTTTATACAGGGTGTCCGGAAGAGAATGGATCACACTTCAAGGTAACTTGGATGAAAATAAACACGACAGCATACCTTAGCTTCCTTAAAGTTACATTTTAAAAATTTATATTTTCAAAAAGAAATCCCAATAGATATACCTAAATATTTTAGAAAAAAAAAATACATTTGGGCATTTTTACAACCTTTAGTGATTAGTTTCCCAAAAAGAAGGAATCTACATATTAAAGATAATGAAGGAATTATAATATCTATGTTTTAATAAAACAATATTTTTAAGTACATTTATTACAATCAACGTTTTAGAGAAAACAGTCAGAAAAATAAAAGATTTTTACTATATCATTAATAAGTGCATGTGTTATATTAATAATGCAGAGTGTTCCACCTCGAACTCCATCGATGGATATCTGGGAAACCGCTCTAAGGATTTTTTTGAAATTTTGATGGTGTGGACCGTGGGGCCTACCAAGCTAAAATATTTTCAAGGTCATCGTACTTCCGGTCATACCGAAAGTAGATACTAACTTTCTTATTTTAAATGGAACCCCTTGTATATTATTGCATTTTTGGAAAGATCATCTACTTTTAAGTTGAAAACATATAGCATAGTCCATACTTAGGATTGACCCTTTCCGAGATATTTTGGTTTTTAAGCAAAAATTGACAGATGCAGATTGTCAGCAAAATTTAGTTTTCCCGGAAACGGGTTTATTTTTTTGTACAAATTGGGCTTTTTGTAGAGGAAGACCTAATTTATTGAATTTTATACAAGGTGGTCAAATTTCTTTTTATCGATGAAGTTCAGAAAATGTGGAAAACTCGAAATTTTTAAATGGAAACCTCTAATTTTTTTAACGTACTCGCATTCTGCACTAAAATTAAGTGTAACTTTGTTAAAGTTTCCCTATACCTAAACGCAGTAGTTTTCATTTTATCAAATAAACATTTCTCTTTTCTTAAAATCTTTTCATTTGTTTTGCACATTTTAGGTTGGCCGTGACAGGTAAGTAACAATCAACATGACAACTGTCACAGGTTTTTAATAATTTAATAATAATCAAATTTATTTTAATATATGCTCAAAATGTCCTCCTTCAACTTCTAAACATTTTTCACACTTTCGGATTAGTTCTTTGTGAGTCGCTGCTCTAATAGAATACGGTGATAGATGCTCAAATGCTTGCCTTACTCTATGCATACAATTTTCCTTTGTTATTACTGGAGTACTATACACACTATTTTTTTAGCGATCTAAATAAATTTAACAATTAAAAAACCTGTGACAGTTGTCATGTTGATTGTTACTTACCTGTCACGGCCAACCTAAAAGGTGCGAAACAAATGGAAACATCATTTTAAGAAAAGGGAAATGTTTACATATTCGTAAATAAAATGAAAACCACTGGATTTAGGTATAGGGAAACTTTAACAAAGTTACACTTAATTTTAGTGCAGAATGCGATTACGTTAAAAAAATTAGAGGTTTCCGTTTAAAAATTTCCACATTTTCTGAACATCATATTCCATATTTTTTTTTTGACCACCCTGTATAAAAACTGGTAAATTTTCATGTCAAATTCGATAAATTAGGTCTTCCTCTACAAAATGTCCAATTTGCACAAAAAAATAAAACTGGGAAAACTAAATTTTGCTGACAGTCTGCATCTGTCAATTTTTCCTTAAAAATTAAAATATTTCGGAAACGGTCAATCCTAAGTATGGAGTGTGTTATTATGTTTTCAACTTAAATTAGAGGGGTTCTATTTAAAATAAGAATGTTAGTATCGACTTTCGGTATAACCGAAAATACGATGACCTTGAAAATATTTTAGCTTGGTAGGCCCAATGGTCCGCATCACACCATCACAATTTCAAAAAAATCCTTCGAGCGGTTTTCCAGGTATCCATCTATGGAGTTCGTGGTATCGTGGTGGGACACTGTACATAAACATCGTTTTCTGTTGATTATATTGTCTTTAAGATAAGTTAGTTTACTGTTTTTTTTACTTGTTTTCACCAATGTACGACTATGCTTTTAATTTCGGTTGTAACTAAGACTTTGTTAACTAATCAGTCAATTAAATTGTGAGTATAATTTCAGTGAGGCTTTCCTACATGCACGTACAGTAATGGCTGATGCTGTTCTACTCTACATACTCCGTTGACTTTTCGCGGCTGCGCATTGAGTAGCGTAGTAATATTTAATTTTATGGAATAAAATATTCTAGAAGTGTTTATGTATGTATGGCATTACATAAATCGTTGAAATTATTAATATTACATGTTTAATTAATATTAAATAGTTAGTTTCTAATTTATACTGTAACTCTTGATAGTCATTAACATAGTATTCTCCAACCAATTTCTTGTATGTAAACAATGATTTAATTCTGAAGAAAAAATATTTTGAAAACCTATATTAAATTCCTAAATGTATTTTTAAAAGAAAATACAAAATTTTTCTTTTGGGGTCGCTAACCCTTTTCTCTGTAAATGTATTTTACTGTTGTACTTACCGTTAAAAAAATATTATTAAACAAACCATTGCGCCAAAAGGATATAATTTTTTTCGAATGGAAAATTATACTTAGGAAATGTTCCAAATCGGTTTATTTACATCCAAAGAACTACCTTTGAAGTATGGCCATTTCACTTCTGAATATACCTTTATAAAAATAATGAATTTCCGAAAAAAAATTTATATAAACTATAAATAACACTTGTCCTGAAAGAGATCCAAGTGGAACTCCGAATTTCTCCTGAGTAATGTTTTCACATATTTAATTAATTTATTTATTTATTTAATTAATTCAATTTTTGTATCTACAGGAAACCCAAATGATACAATCGAAATAACAGTTGTTCAAAAAAAAAATACAATAAACAATACCTTAACAAATAATACAAAAATAAATACTATAAGGCAACCATCATTTACAAGTAATTACTAGCTGAGTTCTTTTATGAACTTAGGAAGTTGACACCACGATGCCTCAAAGATATCAAAATCCTGTGGCAACGCATTAACCGCCTTACTAATTTCATTAATGGGAGAATATAATCCAACATTAGTGCGAGATTGATCTAAATAGAGAAATTCATATGACCTGGTAGTGTAGTTTGGCACTCTTATATTAAATAATGATAATACTTCACTACAATTTATTCTGTTAAGAAAAAGTTTATGAGCAAATTTTAAATAAGAACAGTGTCTCCTACAATTTAGAGATTGAATACTAAGTAGATGTAATCTTTCACTATATTCATAATCATATTTATTAATATTCAATTTAAACAGCACAAAATTGCATATTTTCTTTTGAATACGCTCCAAACGATCTACATGATTGGCAAAATGTGGATTCCAAATAATACAACAATATTCCAAAGTTGAACGCACCAGAGAGTTATATAAAAGTATAATAGAAGTAATATTAGTGAAGTCCCGAGTTTGACGTTTAATGAAACCACTCATTCTAAAACATTTGCTCAATAAATCTTCAATATAAGAAGTGAATTTCAATTCATAATCAAATTTTACTCCCAAATCCTTCACTATCTTTACTCTTTCAAGTTTAATATTATCAATAAAATAATCCGACAACCAAATATTCCTCCTACGGGTAAAAGAAATTACTTTACATTTGTTATGGTTTAACTCCATATCGTGGAATTCGCACCATTTGGCTAATTGATTCAAATCGCTCTGAATTGCATCACTAGAATCCTTAACAGTTAAAAATAATTTCAAATCATCAAACATTAAATATCTACATAATTTTAAGTTATGAGATAGATCATTTACAAAAAGAAGAAACAATATTGGTCCCAGATGGCTACCCTAAGGAACATCAGATGTTACGATTATTTCACGTGAAGTAAACACTTTAACTTTAAACATTTGAGTTCTATTTACTAAGTATGACTTCATCCACAATAGCAAGTTCCCGATGAACCCATAAGATTATAATATACTTAGCATTAATTTGTGGTTAAATTTATCAAACGCTTTACGAAAATCAGTATAAATTGTATCAACCTGGTACCCATCCTCAATAACCTTCACAATATAGTTACTGAAAATCAATAAGTTTGTTTCTGTGCTCCGACTGGGGTAAAAACCATGTTGATAAGGAGAAATTAAACTATTCTATATATCCTAGGCTTGACAGACAACCGGTGCTACCTAGAGAACGGCGCCTCCTCAGAGAGCTTCTTCGTGTCCGAAGACCTCCCCGTCGGCTCCAACGTGGGTCAGATCCGCGTCCACGGCGACCCCAGACCTGGAGGATCCATAACCCTGCGCCTCAAAGAGGGCGACAGCCCCGTGGCCATCACCCCCGGCACGAAAAACCTCACCCTTCGCCGACCCCTCGACAAGGAGGGCATAGACGGACCTTCCTCCGTCTTCATCAACCTCATCTGCGAGAGATCGCACACCCTAGATCCGGGATTCGTGATCCCTGTTAATATCAGAGTCACGGACGCCAACGACAATGCGCCGATTTTCGTGAACGCGCCCTACGTGCTGAACATTTCCGAGGTGACGGTGGTCGGTACCAGGGTGCTGCAGGGCGTACACGCGGTGGACAATGACCAACAAGGTCCCTTTTCCAACGTTAGGTACTCGGTACTTCCCGGGCTGCATTCGGACTTTTTCGAATTCGAGAATGAGCTGGAAGGTACGCTGGTGCTGAAGAAGCCCCTGGACTATGAGAGTCTGAAGACCTTCGACGTGCACATAAGGGCGCAAGATCACGGGGAACCCCCCATGAAGACGGATACGGCGCTGACGGTGCATGTGATTGACGCCGACGACCAGAATCCCAAATTTTTGGACGACAGGTACGGCAAATATTTTTCTATTTATTATATTGTGTACTTTAAAAAAAGTCGCATTGGAAATAATGTAATATAATAATCCACATATATGTCGTTGTCATTTTCAATTTTTGCCTGACATGTGTTTCACTTGTTTTTACTCTTTCACTATTTTTTTAATTCTTTAAACACTTTTGTTAAAGAACTGCACATTTCCACATCATCATTTAAACACATTTGAATAATTATAATGTGAACATAAAACATTGTTCCCAATTACACGCAGATGACACTAAAGCAAACGCCTAAGTTTGAAATTGACAAGTCGAGAAATGAAACTGTACAGCGTTGGTCGCCTCTCTTTCTGTACATAAACATAGATATAGGCATAAGAGTGATATAGACGCCTGTAACAATAGACATGTTCTAAGTGCGCACGCGCAGGCTGAACATTATCGGAACACTATGCAAAATGAACGGCGCATTACATTGTGTGGGTCAAATTTGGAAACTGAATTTTAAAACAGTTATCCTCAACCGATTGAGCTGAAATTTTGCATACACGTTTAGTTTGGATGACAATGCATAGTTAACTAAGTGACGCTATTCTAAATCCAATATGTCGAACTCTCAAAGATGGCGGACTAGTTATTTTTTATACCCCCAATATTATATATTGATATGGTATCAATAGGTCAGGAAATATAGAGTTGGACACTCCTTTTTGTTTCGGCGAGCTGAATTTATCACGATAGATGCTAAATATTATGTACAATAACATATTAGTTTCCACAGTCATAAAAATGGGGGGAAGATTGTTTACAGGGTGGTTAATTGTATAATTTTTACATAAATTCACGTTTTTCTCTAATAACTTTTTTCCGTTCATTTCCACAAAAAAACAGTAGAGTACTTTTTTTTCGCCTTCAAAAGACCTACAAAACTAACCCTCGAGCGTCATTGATTAGATCAAAAGATATAAACAGAAGAAGTTTATTTATGACTTTTGAATTAAACATTTATAAACTGCGTTATTATTACCAGAACGTTTTGGCATCGCATCCTCTCATTTCTTATCACTGTCTAATAACTCACACGAAATCTGGAATCGGTAAGTTGAATAGTTTACAAGTTATGGCCTTATAAACAAATTAACTAATTATTAGTCTGGACGATCCCGAGGATCTTCCACAATCGCACTGATTTTTTTCATGGTAGATTTCATAATAATACATTGAAATCTATATTTTTTTTTTAATTTCAAATTTGCAACCTGGAATTTTTTTTATTTTTTAGCCTTAGTTGCAAAATGAAATATACGACGCACGAGCGTGATATAGTTATATATTATTACATATTCGGAAAGCTTATGAAAAGAGCTTTAAGTTAAAAAAAAATCGTCAAGATTCGTTGAAAAACAACGGAGTTACAGACTGTCAAAGTTGACGGCCTATTGTTAAACAAATTAGGTTGGTAGCGGCAAAAAAAATACTGTCATAACCGGCAACCCGAGTACTTTCCCAGATAAAAATATTTTATTTGTGGAAGTATGTTAAGTGCATAAGAAATATTGTCAAAAGTCAGTGGGTCGCTTGATTTTCGGCGAGCCGTGGCGCGGCGGAAGGGTGGGGGAAGCGAACGACAGCGAGTCCGAAGAAAATGACGATAATATTCATAGTCCTGCCGTTAAATAAGCGAAATTCGCTTGAAAATAATATATTTGACAGTCTGTAACTCCGTTGTTTTTCAACGAATCTTGACGATTTTTTTTTAACTTAAAGCTCTTTTCATAAGCTTTCCGAATATGTAATAATATATAACTATATCACGCTCGTGCGTCGTATATTTCATTTTGCAACTAAGGCTAAAAAATAAAAAAAATTTCCAGGTTGCAAATTTGAAATTTAAAAAAAAATGATAGATTTCAATGTATTATTATGAAATCTACCATGAAAAAAATCAGTGCGATTGTGGAAGATGCTCGGGATCGTCCAGACTAATAATTAGTTAATTTGTTTATAAGGCCATAACTTGTAAACTATTCAACTTACCGATTCCAGATTTCGTGTGAGTTATTAGACAGTGATAAGGAATGAGAGGATGCGATGACAAAACGTTCTGGTAATAATAACGCAGTTTATAAATGTTTAATAAAAAAGTCATAAATAAATTTCTTCTGTTCATAACTTTTGATCTAATCAATATTTTTTGACGCTCGAGGGCTAGTTTTGTAGGTCTTTTGAAGACGAAAAAAACAGTACTTTCCTGTTTTCTCGTGGAAATGAACGGAAAAAAGTTATAAGCGAAAAACGTGAATTTACGTAAAAATTATACAATTAACCAGCCTGTAAACAATGTTCCCCCCATTTTTGTGACTGTGAAAACTAATATGTTATTGTACATTTAGCATATATAGTGATAAATTCAGCTTGCCGAAACAAAAAGTCGCGAAATGGTCATTTCCAGCTCTTTTTCCTGGCCTATCAAATGAAAGGCTTTGCTGAGAAGAATACTAAAATAAAATGACGTCATTAAAAGCTTCTTTTTATTTTTTTTATACATGAACTTTATGACACAGAAAACAGTCTGTAAAAATCAAAGGTACCTACTCACAATGAGCCTTTAGAAGTCAAGATTGGAATTCCTCAGAGATTCGTACTCAGCCCAATACTTTTTATCATTTACATAAGTTATTTGTCAAATTTATATATGCAGATGATACTGTCCTATTTTTTAAAGATAAGGAGGATGTGAAATATAAGGTACTTAAAGGGTTAGAAAAAGTTGACCAAAGTAACTTGAAACTTATAAATTCCTTACTTTTGTTATTGTTTGTTTATCTTGCACATACAAACAACACAGCATCTAGGTGCTTATTACCATTAATTGTATTGTAATTTTTTTTGGAATGAATAAATAAATATGCGCTTGTTTTTTTTTTTTAAGGTACACAGCCGCAATTCCCGAGCTACCAAGAAAGGGTACCATTTTGACGATCAAACCGAGGGATATAAAAGCATTTGATCAAGACCTCGGTATCAACGCCGCAGTATACTACACATTTAACGGAGTCGGCTCAGACTACACGTACTTCAAACTAAACCGACAAACAGCTAAAATCAGCCTTTCTAAAGACCTGGTGGAAAGCGACCTTCGCAACCCCGCTACCCTCGTCATAAGAGCCACCCAGCAGGATAACCCCGATAAGTACGCTCTGGCCACCCTGACGGTTTCCAGGGAAATGGGAAAAGGAATCCGGTTTATGCATTCAATTTTTTACATTAAAGCTTCCGAGGCTCTTCCTGTGGGTTCAGTGGTGGCCACGCTGGCTAATAACAGGCCGGGGGAACCCCTAAGGTACTTCGTTTCGGACCAGAATATCCTGAAGACCTTCGCCTTTAACACTAAGGGGGAACTGTCGTTGAAGCAGAAATTGGATTATGAAGATAGGTCCGAGTTTGTCTTCAAGGTTTTTGCAACCGATGGTATAACGGTAAGTGAAACATATGAAGCATATCTAAACTCTTACAAAAAAACTCTTTTAAAACTAAATGAGATAATAAAAGTTTATATTAAGGTGGTTTTATAAAACTCATTAGGTATAATAAGTAAAAAAAGAATTGCCATCATATAGAACCTTTGGCAGTCAGTTTTTTAGTTTCTGAATTATCTAATAGATGGCAGAGGCATTCACAACTGAAAGATGACCTTGAATAAACTAGGGTAACAAATCAAGGCAAATATTTCGCACTAAAATGTCAAATTGGATGGTCAATGTCAGATAAGGGTGGTTCCATAAAATTGATACATTTTTTTGTACATTTTATAGGAATTTAATTCAACAGACTTGCTATTCTTACTGACTTTTAATCTGCCTTATTAGTTGCTGCCACCACAATAATAGTCCAGTTACTCAGGGTTTTTACCTCCGAATTCTTTATAACAACCGATTGACGTGAAATTTTGACTAAATCTGGGGAATGCCTCAAGGAACAAAACTTATATAGTGTCGCAGTGTGCTTTTGTCCTGGGGGTGGTTCCCACCCCTTCTTGGGGGTGGAAATTTTTACGCCCAAAATAACCACAGGAATCGATAGAGGAGTCCAATTTTAAGTAACAAATATTATATAGCTTTTTTGACAATCCAATACTTTCCGAGTAATTCGTCATTGAAAATGTTGATTTTTTACTGAAAAAGTGCTTGTTTTCGGACAGTTTTTTGCAAATAACTCTGAAACCATTGGATTTAACGAAAAAGTTGTAATGAACAAAAAGAAAGGTAATAAAAAAACAAATCTAATGGTATTATTTTGTTTTTCTCTAATTGCAATATAAACCGAGTTATGGATTTTTAAACATTATTATACGTTAGCTAAAAACTAAATTGGAACCAGTTAACGTTAAACAACGCCAAATCCATAAATATTAGGAAAAAATTATTTGAACCTTTTTTAAAGTACTTTGAAAAACCTTTAAAATGAGCTGTTTTAAAAGTCTTTAGAATCAAAATTAACGGAAATATGATCGAAATAACATGATGGTCTCATTTTTTTTAAGAAAAAATTAATAAACAAATCAGTGCCTTTGGCGACAGAATTAAAATTAAATGCAATCCATTTACAGATTTCTTCATTTATGTTCTAAGAATATGTTCTGGGTCTTTGGCTCACTTACAAAGCATGATTTCGAAAAAAAACTTAATTTTTGAAAATGTTAATTATTCAAATTTTAAAAAAAAAATCGATTTTTACGTTGTAACTTAAAAATTAAAGGGTGTACGAAAAAATACAAGAGTAAAAAAATTTAGCTTTATTTTTGCTGATGATTTTGCTTATTTTTATTATTCCTCTAAAATTAATATTAATCGAGATATCGCCATTTTAAGTTATCATATGAATGAGAGAACCACCCTCTTCGAGCCCTTTAAACCCTTCAAACTTAAAAATGAAGGGCTTAAAAAAGATCAACTCAACAATTCACGTAGCCCTTACAATTCCCTGCAAAATGAGCCTTTGTGCGATTAAAAATCTTATAGGTGATAATTTTAAGAAAATACATATAAATATATAAATAAATGTAAAGGGTAATTTTTAAGGGTTGAAAAGTTGCAATCGATTCAAAATTATTTTATCAGAAGGGAATAAATGTTGATTTAACACGAGTACACATTTAAAATGTTTCTACTCTTTCAATAAAATTTTTTCATTTTATTTTCGAAAGAAGGGGTATTTTTCAAGGGTTGAAAAGTTGCAATCGATAAAAAAAATTTTTTAATCAAGAAATCAATTTCAATTTGATAAGAATGCATGATTAAAACGTTTCAAGTTGAAAAAAAATTTTTTATATTATTTTCATTCAAAGGGGTGGTTTTTAAAGGTTTTTCCGGGTTGAAAATTTGGGATACTTTACGTTTCATGTTAGATAGCACATGAAATTACTCATACTGCATAAATAAAAAAGATTTGGTTACATAAAATGCTTAAATTTGTATTTTTTCTTTTTTTTCCAATAAGGGGTGGTTTTCACCCCTTAAGAACAAAAAGCACACCTAGCGCATATATAAGTTTTGAAGTGTGGGTACAATGAGCCTAATTCTAAATTTTGAGAAAAATCGATGCAGTTATAAAAAATTCGGAGGTATTACTATATTTTCAGCTACAGTAACTGGGCTATAATAACTCCATCACGATTTTGTAACATTAGACCATTCCGTTTATTACAATTTCACATCTCCACTCCAGTAGAATGATACAGATAATTATATTTCTTACATTAATTTGCCATACCCAATTAATACAAAAGCGTAATCATTGAATCAAATTACCACACCATGCCTAATTCCTAACCAGATGAAATACGTTTTACGGCCTGATACCGACACATAAATAAAATAATTACTGATATTAATTTTTGTTCCCCCAGAACGACTCCAGCGTGGTGAACGTAACCGTGGAGGACGTCAACGAGTGGGAGCCTAGGTTCCGTTACCCCCACTACGAATTCTACGTCAGCGGGCACCCCAACGAGCTTCTAGGAAGGATCGAGGCGGCCGACGGGGATAAAAATGATGAACTGATTCTCACCCTGACCGGGGAAAATGCGTCTATGTTTTTCATAACGCCTTCGGGCGAGCTGAGGTTGAGAGAAGCGAAAGGTTAGTACAGAATTGTGTACATTTGTCACAAATTTCAAATGGTCAAGGTGCAACAGCTGTATTGTTGGTTGTTTCCTTGAGGCGCCAGCTAACAATGCAAAATTTTATATGTACATGCCAGTGCTAAAATAGTAGTTATCGATCAAACCACGATTTTACTATTTCTAAAGCTGATACAAAGTTTAACTTCTTGAAATCTCGCTCGCGTCCCAATTTCCAGCTGAAGCTTGTCGGTGCGTGTCAAAAGTGTACAAAAGACGTGTCATTATTTTCACATTTGTTATTCCAGTAAGAGTTGTTAAAAACGGAGTCGTGTGCGGGCACTAGTGGGCATTCTGATAATCACGGTAATCGTAAACGATCAAATTTAACAGGTCAAGACGTTGTGGGATAAATAATATGTGTCAGATAATTCGAGCACAAATGTCAGTGAGTGATGTTCTGGAAATTCTGTAGCGGAAGTGTTTATAGAGTGTTAAAAAATGGTGAAAGTGTAATACAGAAGAACAACGAAGAAAGATTCACGGAAGAAAAAAATTCAAATTGTAATCGCAGAAGACGAAGATTTGCCTACATTGTCCCGAAAAGTTTTTCTGCGTACTAGCCACGAAATGTACTTAAAACGAAATCGAATTTGCTAACAGGATAGAACAAAATTGTAGTATGGCGCAGGTGTTTAGAAAAAAATAATAGTATTATACACGAAAACGAAAATATATTATATCAACGAAACATGGATAAACGAAGGACAACCAATCCCCAAAGTTTGACCAGATTTAAATATAGGAGGTTGCCATGTGGATATAGACAATGGAACATTTGAAAAATGGTTTGCATTTATTCGAATCTGATGCAGTGATTGTCACGGATAATGCGCCTTACCATAGTCGATGGATAGACTATTTTGGCGTTGGAGTATAGACCTAGCATTGCGATAACATAAAAAAATATAGGCTTCCTTGTTTCTGATCAATTATTAAAAGCCGATAAATAAAAACACAGACCCACAAAAAAAAAATTAAAATACCAGAGACTAGACCCATCTATCCTTAAATATTTTTACGCGCTGAATCCGAATCCGGAGCCAAACTTCCAGCTTTTTTTAAATCACGAAAAACTACCCCAAAAACACGGAAAATCTTCAAATTCTCGCTTGAGCACGGGTCCGAAGGTTGAGATAAACGTGAGAACCAGCACAATAAGACTATTTTTTATCTATTTTGACGATCTCAGATACAATCCCTGTTTAGAAAATTTAAATTTAATCTTTATTTAAGACATTAAGGAAATGGAACATGGAATGCCCGCCGGTACCAAGGACGATGGGATGTTAAAATGATGGCAGATTTTTGTTGGATGCTTAAAAGGGAATCCGAGCCAGATAGCAGAAAAAGAAAAAGGTATCCACTCTTTTGAAGATAAAAGAGTACGATAAAAAAAAAGAGAGAATGTTGAAATCCGAGACAATAACACGTGATTTTCCGTATTTTTGGGATGATTTTCGCGATTTAAAAAAAACTGGATGGTGATAGAGCAATTTTGGCTCCGGATTCGGTTTTAGCTCGTCAAAATACATATAAAATAGTCTTATTGTGCCGGTTCCCAGATTTATCTCAACCTTCGGACTCGTGCTCAAGCGAGAATTTGAAGATTTTCCGTGTTTTTGGGTTAGTTTTTCGCGATTTAAAGAAAAAGTGGAGGGTGATGGAGCAATTTTGACTCCGGATTCGGTTTCAGCGCGTCAAAATACATAAGGATAGGTGGGTCTAGTCTAAGGTATTTTCAACTTTTTTTTTGTGGGTCTGTGTAATCTATCAAACACTTAAATTTTTAGAAAGGTATCATCCTGTAGATCGTGACAACGAATAGGAATGGCTAATGATGTAGGTAATCTAATTGTAAGTTAGCCTCGTTCCAAATTTGAGTTCCATATCTAAAAAATTGTGAGAGATGCAAACAAAAAAAAAACAGAAAAATTATTGAAATTTTAACACCCTGTGCCATGGTAACGAAGCATTTACGGACATATGGTTATGGTCATGCGCAGATTCACCCCCCTGAATAAAGACATACTATACTAAGTTCAACGTTTTCAACTTATATTTGCATTCTTGCGCTCACCACGTACTGAGTATATCTGAATCTCTACTATCAACTAGAATAATCAAGAATTAAAATATTCCCAGTGTATCCTGAATGCAAAAATTCAAATTAGTNTTGACTTATTTTTAAAACTAATAAATATTATACATTTGTTTTTTGCAAGTGTAGCAAATATCGTTTCAAATGTATTTTGAACGATCCCTCAGACATGATGCCCTTGATGGTATTATCCAAAGAATTGTATAATTTAACTGACTTATAAGTAAATGACCGCTGAAACATGGCAGTCTTATGATGAGGCATAGTTAATGATGTTGGGTTTGCATTTATTCGAATCTGATGCAGTGATTGTCACGGATAATGCGCCTTACCATAGTCGATGAATAGACTATTTTGGCATTGGAGTATAGACCTAGGATTGCGATAACGTAAAAAATATAGGTTTCCGATAAATAATAATCTACCAATACTTAAATCTTTAGAAAAGTATCACCTTGTAGATCGTGACAACGAATAGGAATGGCTAATGATGCAGGTAATCTAATTGTAAGTTAGCCTCGTTCCAAATTTGAGTTACATATCTAAAAATATATGAGAGATACTAACAAAAAAAAAAAACAGAAAAATTATTGAAATTTTTACACCCTGTGCCATGATGTAATGAAGCATTTACGGACATATGGTTATGGTCATGCGCAGATTCACCCCCCCCCCCTGAATAAAGACATACTATTATGAAGCACTCTGTATATTTACATATATGTATAAGGGCAAATTATACATCTAAAACTCGCAGACAAGATGAATTCGGTCAAGTTGTTCAGCGTTTTCAACTTATATTTGCACTCTTGCGCACACCACGTACTGAGTATATCTGAATCTCTACTATTAACTAGAATAATCAAGCATGAAAATATTCTCAGTGTATCCTGAATGCAAAAATTCAAATTAGTCGAAAATGGCACGTGTATGTATGACACGACAATGATGAAATTGATTCTGATAATCTACGGTGAATGCTAGCAAAACGCTATAGACGCATTACGTTATTATGCAGAATGTTTTTCAATGAGGTCTCTGAATGGGTAAATTTTCCTACAATTTCCAATTTTCCACTTCTTATTATTTATTTTTTCTATTTCACACTAAATGACCCCACTTTCGATGGCAACCTGTAAATCTTAAAGCACAGGACCGTATGCACTTCTCCTGAAATTTCTTCTTATGCTTTGACCATGGTGTGTCTCGCAATTTATACTCGAATAGCAATTCGGCGAGTCCGGTATAGGTAAACTAGTCCGCCTGATGTAGAATTGACGGCGGCGCGCTGGTCATCAAAGCAACCTGTTTGGTCCACTAGGTCATAAATCATTTTTTGTATGGTACACGGGATCACTTAGCTTTGCCGCTTTGCCAGTGCCGTGCAGCGCATTGCTTGGCGGGGTATTTTGTTGATATAGTACGTATTATTATTTATTAGTTGATATTATTATTTGTNGAATAGCAATTCGGCGAGTCCGGTATTGGTAAACTAGTCCGCCTGATGTAGAATTGACGGCGGCGCGCTGGTCATCAAAGCAAACCTGCATTGGTCCACTAGGTCATAAATAATTTTTTTGTATGGTACACGGGTTCACTTAGCTTTGCCGCTTTGCCAGTGCCGTACAGCGCATTGCTTGGCGGGGTATTTTGTTGGTATAGTACGTATTATCATTTATTAGTTGATCTTATTATTTGTTCATATCGTAACCAGTAAAGGGTAAGTTATTAAAATAAATGTTATATGCAATTATCTAGTAATTTAGCGTGGCTCTCTGGAGATTCTTTGAAGCGGAGGATAACGAAATAACTGTTTTTTGTCGAAAGTATCGAAACAAACTCAAAGTTTAAAAACAAAGATTTACACGTAAAAAGTTAACGTATTATATTAAATATATATGAATGTTTGAAAATTGAAAATAGTGAACAATGTGATAAAAAAGTTAGGAAACGGATTAACAAATTAACTAAGATATCCAAAATGGCCAATTTATCGCATAATTAAAGAAGGATTGATCACGGTACAAAGAGGAAACGGAAAAATACAAAATTAAAGAAAATTAACTATTTTACCAGATGTAATGCGGCGCACAATTTATAATATGTATAAAGAAAATAAAGTTCCTACTTTAAACATGATTCGAGATAAATTAAGCGATTATCCTGATTATAATTATAAATCTTTAATATTTTACGACATGCTTTATTACAATACGGTTTTAAACATAAAAAACTTGACAATCGTATGGTACTTATATGGTAATATAGCTCGGAATATAGTATACCTAGACGAGACAGGGCTAAATTTTTCTAGACGTCTATGGACTCCGTAGAATTTATGAGTTAAATGGTTTTATGCGGTTCCTATTGAAATCGTAACAACTAAATCGTTACAATTTTTTGAGGAATTTCATAAAAACAAACCAATAAGACCATTTGAAATATTTGATTAGTGGAAAACAAAAAAAAAATCATATTTTGTATGAACTCAGGATATACCGGCGTCGCAAACCTAGCAGTGATAGCCACCGACAGCGGGACACCCCCGAAGAATTCCACCGTTCCTATAACCGTCCATTTCCCCGAGACAGGAGATCCTGCAGGCATCATTTCAAGCAAGGGCAACAACGGTGGCCCCCTTCTCCTCGCAGGTCTGGGTGCGATTCTACTAGTTCTGGCCTTCGTTGTAGCCCTCCTAGTAGCATACATTTGCAAAGTGTAAGTAATTCTCAACATCAAAATTGCATTGCAAATAGATGTAGGTCAACAGGAATAAGTTTGCGGGTGAGTTTGATCCGCCCACATACGTGGATGTCTTGGTCTTGTTCTCCTTCGCTCTCTATCGCTCTTGCCAAATGCCTTTTTCAGTTCTGAGTTTGCAAAATTGTCCTGTTTCTCATTCGCAAACTTCCTGTTGACCACACTCACATGTTTTATATGAAGATTGAAGCATAAAAGTGATTATCAAATACATTCTTGGTTAAAACAACAGATTTTTGTTTATAAATATCGTTACGCCAATTTTTAATTTTAATTTTGGTTCATTATCTTTCAACCTTTTATGTCTTTCTCAGCAGGCACAAGAATTTCCGTTCCAAGTTCCACAATAACAATTTTTTGATATATTTATTTTAGAAAACGGAATCCACGTCAAGAATTGGCGACTCTGCAGTCGGAAAAACCGCAGGTCATCACCGGGCCTAAAAAAGTCTCCAACCCCGTGTTCGGGGAGAGGTCCAGGACGCCCACGGCATCGGCGATGGGGGGCATCCCCAGCGACTTCAAATCGAGGATTCCAAGCCCGAAGGTCCATCCGGCACCACAGCCTCCACTGTGGCCTTCCTCTGCCTCTTCCACTAGAGTAAAGAAATTGAGCTGGGGAGATAATAATAAGGTGGGTGGCAAGACATAATGATTTTATTCAGCTTATTTCGTTTTTATTTTAATTTATTTTTCAATCATTCAACGAAAGGGAAACCCATATTAAATGAGTGAATAGAATATATTCGTTAATAGAATTTGTATAAGCACTTTGTTTCCCATTCTATGGTATTTTTTCGGTTTTACGATTTTGTATATTTTTTTTTCAGACTGACTCTGACAGTACGGATAATATGAACAATATCGACAGTACGCCGAAATTACTAGACAACACAAATCTGACGGTGTATTTTTAATAATATTGTGTAAACTATTTTGTTGTAGCTTTAATTTTTGTAACTAAATAGTTAAATCTTATTAACCATAATTTTAAAATAATGTATAAGTACTTATACAGAATAAATCTATTTAATGCTCGGTTAATTTATTTTTCCCTTTACGATATTCTCCCATACTTCAGTCGAATTAGAGTTTGAACCTGACAAAATTATTAGATGACATTTTATTACACTTTATCACGGGGAAGGGTACGTAGAATGATAATATCAAAAAAAGTAACTCGAAAGAACTGACGCTAAGTTGGCAAATTATAAATAAGAGGCAAATTTACGTGTTTTTTCACTTTTTTTACTGCCCACAAAAATCTAGACGACTTATAAGAAAATTAGTCATTTTATGTTGTAGCAATTAAATTACCTACAATTTAAGGAATCTAAAGTTATATTTCACTAATTTGTTAACTGTAAGATAAAGGTCGAACGCGGAAATATGAGTTTTCGAAAACTGCGCATTATTATTGTAAAAAGCGATGGATGTTGATGAAATTTATGGAAAAGACGGTCAATCCATAGACCAACATATGTGCCAAAGGCCTATCCGATTGACTGTGAAATTGTTGCTCCAGATAAATTGTTAATTAATTTCGTTCGTTTTTTTTTTGCAACTAATTGTTTAATTACTAAATGTTAATTTTAGTTAACATTGTAGATATAGGTTGATCCAAAGAAACGTATAAAAAAGAAAAATTTGAAAAAGTTGAAATTAAGTAGCCCTTTACAACTAACAAGTAGGATGTGCAAATCAGCGTTATAAACAAATTGTCCCGGGGCTAGGCAAAAGCTGCTCGGGAATTCGCTCTTTCTGCATTAAATAGAGCTTATTTTTACAGTAATTAAAAAAGAAGAAGAAGAGAAATTACCTACGCCTCTTTATTACCAAGATTTTTATAAGGTTAATTGTTAACTAACTATTNATAAAAACAAACCAATAAGACCATTTGAAATATTTGATTAGTGGAAAACAAAAAAAAAATCATATTTTGTATGAACTCAGGATATACCGGCGTCGCAAACCTAGCAGTGATAGCCACCGACAGCGGGACACCCCCGAAGAATTCCACCGTTCCTATAACCGTCCATTTCCCCGAGACAGGAGATCCTGCAGGCATCATTTCAAGCAAGGGCAACAACGGTGGCCCCCTTCTCCTCGCAGGTCTGGGTGCGATTCTACTAGTTCTGGCCTTCGTTGTAGCCCTCCTAGTAGCATACATTTGCAAAGTGTAAGTAATTCTCAACATCAAAATTGCATTGCAAATAGATGTAGGTCAACAGGAATAAGTTTGCGGGTGAGTTTGATCCGCCCACATACGTGGATGTCTTGGTCTTGTTCTCCTTCTCTCTCTATCGCTCTTGCCAAATGCCTTTTTCAGTTCTGAGTTTGCAAAATTGTCCTGTTTCTCATTCGCAAACTTCCTGTTGACCACACTCACATGTTTTATATGAAGATTGAAGCATAAAAGTGATTATCAAATACATTCTTGGTTAAAACAACAGATTTTTGTTTATAAATATCGTTACGCCAATTTTTAATTTTGGTTCATTATCTTTCAACCTTATATGTTTTTCTCAGCAGGCACAAGAATTTCCGTTCCAAGTTCCACAATAACAATTTTTTGATATATTTATTTTAGAAAACGGAATCCACGTCAAGAATTGGCGACTCTGCAGTCGGAAAAACCGCAGGTCATCACCGGGCCTAAAAAAGTCTCCAACCCCGTGTTCGGGGAGAGGTCCAGGACGCCCACGGCATCGGCGATGGGGGGCATCCCCAGCGACTTCAAATCGAGGATTCCAAGCCCGAAGGTCCATCCGGCACCACAGCCTCCACTGTGGCCTTCCTCTGCCTCTTCCACTAGAGTAAAGAAATTGAGCTGGGGAGATAATAATAAGGTGGGTGGCAAGACATAATGATTTTATTCAGCTTATTTCGTTTTTATTTTAATTTATTTTTCAATCATTCAACGAAAGGGAAACCCAGTTATAAAATGAGTGAATAGAATATATTCGTTAATAGAATTTGTATAAGCACTTTGTTTCCCATTCTATGGTATTTTTTCGGTTTTACGATTTTGTATTTTTTTTTCAGACTGACTCTGACAGTACGGATAATATGAACAATATCGACAGTACGCCGAAATTACTAGACAACACAAATCTGACGGTGTATTTTTAATAATATTGTGTAAACTATTTTGTTGTAGCTTTAATTTTTGTAACTAAATAGTTAAATCTTATTAACCATAATTTTAAAATAATGTATAAGTACTTATACAGAATAAATCTATTTAATACTCGGTTAATTTATTTTTCCCTTTTCCATATTCTCCCATACTCCAGTCGAATTAGAGTTTGAATGTGACAAAATTATTAGTTGACATTTTATTGTACTTTATGACGGAGAAGGGTGATGATAATGATAGAATGATAATATCAAAAAAGTAACTCGAAAGAAGTGACGTTAAGTTGGAAAACTGCAAATAAGTGGCACATTTACGTGTTTTTTCACTTTTCTTGCTGCCCACGAAAATCTAGACCTAGACTACCTATCGGAATAGTTATTTTGTGTTGTAGGCAATTAAATTACCTACAATTTAAGGTATCTAAAATCATATTTCACCCATTTGTTAACTGTGTAATAAAGATTCGAACGCGGAAATATCAGTTTTCGAAAATTGCGCATTATTATTGCAAAAAGCGATGGATGTTGATGAAATTTATGAAAAAGACGGTCAATCCAAACACCAACATGTTTGCCAAAAGCCTATCCGATTGACTGTAAAATTGTTGCTCCAGGTATTTGTTAATTAATTTCGTTCGTTTTTTTTGCAACTAATTGTTTAATTACTAAATGTTAATTTTAGAAGTTAACATTGTAGATATAGATTGATCCAAGGAAACGTATCAAAAAAGAAAAAATTGAAAAAGTTGAAATTAAGTAGCCCCTGCCGGGGTCAGGCAAAAGCTGCTCGGGAATTCGCTCTTTTTGCATTAAATAGAGCTTATTTTTACAGTAATTTAAAAAAAATAGAGAAATTACCTACGCCTCTTTATTACCAAGATTTTTATAAGGTTAATTGTTAACTAACTATTAATTATTAATTAATAATTAAAGAATAGGTTAAACTTTTATCTTCAGAAAGTTTTACATTGATAGTTCATATAATTTTTTTATTTGAACGTTTCAAATTGGGTTAAAAAAACTGGCGCGTAATCCAGAACAGCGTTGACAAACGTGCGCGGGCCTGGCGCTTCTTCTCCGCGTGCAAGCCGTTTATTAATGTTAACTTTTACTGCTGCTAACGCGTTTATTACATAAACTATCAATGTAAAACTTTTTGGAAATAAAAGTTTAACCCTTAACGTTATAAAAAACCTATCTTGGGAACAAAGAGGCGTAGGTGATTTCTCTTTTTTTAAATTACTGTAAAATTAAGCTTTATTTAATGCAAAAGAGCGAATTCCCGAGCGGCTTTTGTCTGATCCTGCGACAATTTGTCTATAACGTTGTTTTGCACATCCTGCTTTGTTCAGTTGTAAAGATCAACTTAATTTCAACTTTTTAAAATTTTTCTTTTTCGATACGTTTCTTTGGATCAATTAAAACCTATATCTACGATATTAACATCTAAAATTAACATTTAGTAATTAAACAACAGTTGCAGAAAAAACAAACGAAATTAATTAACAAATACCTTCAGCAACAATTTCACGGTCAATTGAATCGGCGTTTGACACACATGTTGGTGAATGGATTGACCGTCATTTCCATAAATTTCATCAACATCCATTGCTTTTTGCAATAACGATGCGCAATTTTTGAAAAATGATATATTAATTAGTGAAAAATGACTAGGTACCTTAAATTGTAGATAATTTAATTGCCTATGCAACATAAAATGACTAATTTTCAGGTAGATCGTTTAGATTTTCGTGGGCAGTAAAAAAGTGAAAAAACACGTAAATTTGTCACTTATTTGCAATTTTTCAACTTAGTGTCACTTTTTTCGAGTTACTTTTTTGATATTATCATTCTACAGACCCTTCCCCGTCAAAAAATGCAATAAAATGTTTACCAACAATTTTCAAGTTTTCAGGTTTTATGATCTAATTCGATTTTTATTATTTAGTTTAATTAAAAGTTTAAATAAACAATATCTAACTGAAAAATCAACCTTAGTACGCAATTTAAAAAAAATATACACTCGCTGCAAGTTGCAACGATACTTTTCAACAAAAGTTAATTGAAATTTCGTCTCTAAACCTCGTGAACTATATCTTCTATGCCTAAAACGAAAACTTTCTTCCGAGTTTCTAGAACGATATCAAGTTCATATACTAACACCTACGAAAAAGTCCCCAGGGCCCCTATTTCTTTCCACTGCGAAATAAATAATAAATGTAAATTCCATTTCATCAACACGGACTTTCCAGTGGCGTATCGTATCAACCCAAAAGTAGGTCAAACAGTCCATCACCACACTTTATTTACGGATCTAGGTAGCTATAAGTTATAAACAAACAAGACGGGCGAACAAAAGAGTAATCGCAATGTAATTAGCTTTAAATAACACAAAAAGCGTTCCGAAAATTACTTATTGGCTAAATATACAAGGCGTATATCCCACATTCTTTAAGTTTTAAATTAATTAAATTTTAAATTAACTAACATTCAACAATAACGGTTTTTAATTAAGAATTTAATAAACAAGAAATATTTGAAATCATATAATAAAAACATTTAGAAAAACAACAAGAACATTTTACCTTAATCCACGCTACAGTTCATATTCTGTAAAAACTTAATTTTAAATCTCATAAATTTTAGTAGGAAAACAATATATAAACGAGAAACGAACCCATTTTTATAACAAAAACTATATTATATACTTTTCTTATTCCTGTAAATATTTTTTTCCCTTTCATAAACGAAATATTTGGCAAAATAAATTCCCTCGACTTTCGTCGACCTACGCTGTACCCTGACCAAGATAAGGAAAAGAGAGAGTGCTTTTACATTTTGTGATTCACCAAAGTTTCCTAGTTCGAGTCTTCGTTCGTATGCCGATGACCACGAGTATAACAATCAAAGCGTACCATGAAGGGTTTAACAGTGCTTGCTTTATTCAGTGCAATTTGTGTAAATTGCCGCGCCGCTTGCTTGAAGAACACGAGTAATGTGGAAAACGTGAAAAACTCTGATGTGTGCTCTGAAGACGACGGTATCTGGGGGCCTTTGATTGAAAACTGGACCGTTCAAAATAAAAGGTAAGGAACCAATAGCTAATGATGATAATATGTAAGTACATATCGCACCTTCGCTTCAAAAGTGTCACAACTCAAAAAATTCAATTTTTGACATAATACCACCATTGATTTTGATTTTCAGTTAGTTGCAGTTAAAATGGTTCCAAAATGCTATTTGGTTTTTGGCCCCTTTGCTGAAACCTTTATAATCATCAATAATGTTTTTAAACAATTTAGTTACTTTTGTCGCTAGAGCTTTTTCATCTTTTCTGAAAAATTAAGGATTTTGACTTGTGACACTTTTGAAGCAAGGGTGCGATATTTATGAGTCAGCGCAATATTTTATCAACTGACTATTGGAAAAACAATACAATACACACGGCACACGGGGATAATAAAAACGCCAATTGTGACGATTCGCTATAGGTTTTGCTCTAACAAGTATTAGTCCAGACGGTATCTGTTTCAAAAAAACATATTTGGGTGAATCGTATATCCACGGAGATTTTTGGCTTTTTGGCTTTCAAATATCACTAGAATTGAAAATTTTTCTATGCGCATAAAAAAAAAAACGTGGGCTTAAATTTTGGCGGCAGAATATGTTAAAAAAATTCGAAAAATGTAATATTTTTCTTCCTATTTAAATATGTATCTTTTCAAGAGTTGATTTTAGGCGAAAATGGAAGAGGAAAAAAATTTTTGCAATTAAATTTTTTACAAAATATGTCTAGTTACAAATCGAATGAATCATGTTTATTATGGTAAAAATCGAAAAAAATCGCAAAAATGGGGTTAAAAAACAATACTTTTTAGGGAATTTTTTTGGGGTATTTAAACTGGATATAGGACCTTTATACTTGGCTCAAAAAAACTTCATGTTATGTAGAATTATCACACCAAATTTCATCAAAATTGGTTCAATAGATTTTGCATAATAATTTTGCAATCCAGATTTTGAAAAAAAAAATGCAAATTTTCAAATTTTTGCACAGCAAAAACCAATGCCATTAGATACTTGAAAATTTAATCACATTTAGAAAGGCTCCCAAGCTTTCAAACTTTTTTTGAAAAATTCGAATCCGTCAATTAGGAGAGCTCTGGCGCTTGTTTAAACATTTGTCGAATTTTTGTACTTACAAACAATTAGAACTTTGTGAATATTCAATCAAATCAAATTTTTTAAAGCAGGTTTTAAGTTTTTGGACTGACGCTTATTAAAAAAAAAAATAGAACGATTGATCAATTAGTTACGTAGTTATAGCCGATTCAATTTCGAGCAGGCCGAAGCGGCCGCGCTCTCTGCTTCCCCCACCACTACCACCCGTACGATTTTATTGAATTTCCCGCTTGCATAAATAACTTTAAACACGTTTTAAAGTAGGTTGCCAATGAAGAAAAGTATTGTAAACTTAGACCTGGTAAGTACTCGGAATACCAAAGGTATTTTTCGAAAAATTAGCCCGGATGTCCCAGTACATTTAGTGTAAATGACGGCTATAACTACGTAACTAATTGATCAATCGTTCTGTTTTTTTTTTTTTAAAGAAGCGTCTCCAGGAATTTTTAAAACCTGCTTAAAAATTTGATTTGATTGAATATTCACAAAGTTCTAATTGTTTATAAGTACAAAAATTCGACCAATGTTTAAACAAGCACCAGAACTCCCCTAATTGACGGATTCGGATTTTTCAAAAAAAGTTTGAAAGCTTGGGAGCCTTTCTAAATGTGATTAAATTTTCAAGTATCGTATCTAAGGGCCTTGGTTTTTGCTATGCAAAATTTTGAAAATTTGAATTTTTTTTTTTTCAAAATCTGGATTGCAAAATTATTATGCAAAATCTATCGAACCGATTTTGATGAAATTTGGTGTGATAATTCTACATAACTTGAAGTTTTTTTGAGCCAAGTATAAAGGTCCTATATCCAATTTAAATGCCACAAAAAAATTCCCTAAAAAGTATTGTTTTTTAACCCCATTTTTGCGATTTTTTCGATTTTTACCATAACAATCATGATTCATTCGATTTGTAACTAGACATGTTTTGTAAAAAATTTAATTGCAAATATTTTTTTTCCTCTTCCATTTTCGCCTAAAATCAACTCTTGAAAAGATACCTAATTAAATAGGAAGAAAAATATAACATTTTTCGAATTTTTTTAACATATTGTGCTGCCAAAAGTTAAGCCCACGTTTTTTTTATGCGCATAGAAAAATGTTCATTTCTAGTGATATTTGAAAGCCAAAAAGCCAAAAATCTCCGTGGATACGATTCACCCAAACCAAAACAGATACCGCCTAGTCTATATAGGTACTTAAAATTTTTGTAAATATACATAAGATTTTCCCTTCACAATGGTAACTATATTCCTACTATTTTTAATTTATTAAATTTTAACCTAAATCATAAAAATCTCCAAGAGACTGTTGCATAGTGATCTAGATATCCATCTCCAAATGGAGGTCAAGAGAAGGTTCAATGACCCATATCTTCATGAATTTAGAATATAAATATAATTAATTTATTCAAAAAAAACTATAATTCACAGAGAAATTGACTGAATATGAGGTAGAGGTAAAAACATCACATTCTTCACAAAGTAATTTTAATTTCAGTTTTCTATTACGCTTTACAAAACACATGTAGATATAATATAGTTAAAAAGTGGACTTACCTATTGAAGACTTCTTTTTATTTTAAATTCTAGGTTAGGCAACAGTAGTTTACACTAAACTTTACAGTTGTAAAACACATTACCTTTTTTAATTTATGAAATTTATAGATAATGACGAAATGAGTTAATAATACGCAAAATTGATTTTCCATTTTAATGCAACCCCCATAAACATCCCATAAACCACCATTTTTTCATTTTAAACTTGACGTTAAATAAACTGCCGGCGAACTAAAGCGACATCTACAGTTCAGTGGCGGCCATAGATAAGATATACTATGTGTGGCGGCCAACAAATAAAACAGACGAACAATACAGAACGTTGCCACAAGGATGCAGTACTATATTTAATTCAAAATTTAAATTTTTAAAACCCATCCGATAAAGCTAAAAGCTACTTATCTATTTTTATATTTCAAAATTATCTCCATTATCATTTATTCATTAAAATTTAGCGTCAAATTTACAAATAATTTTTTAATAATAAAGTCATTTATTTACAGGCAATTTCTTGATTTTAGTAATATTTCGATTATCTTTTTAAGGGGTGCCCGTGTTATGATACTCCATCCAGTTCCGAACTCTTACATTATAGAAGAGAAAATCGACAATGATATGACTGAGAAAGAAAGCAAAATAAGTCCAGGCAAAATAGTGTCCACGGGTAATGTTAACAAGAAACCGCCACCCGCCAGGCAAATCTCCGAGACCGACCTCTATCTCCTAGGAGCTATCGAAAAGCTAGTATACAGGGTGGATTTTATGGAGAAGCGATTGAGGCGTGTCGAGGAAATGTTATATTACGCGGTAGCTGGAAATCGCATCGATAATGGTAAGAAGATAATAATATATTAATAATATCGACAATGTTAAAATATTCAAATTGTCCTAGCAGAACCTTGCCCGAATAATTTTACCAGAGTAGGAGCGGACTGTTACCAGTTTTTTACGTCAGCTGGTAGAGAGTATGACTGGAAGGTAGCAAGCAAGAAGTGTAAATCATTAGGTGGATTTTTAGCCGAAATGGAGACAATTGAAGAAAATCAAGATGTCATTGCTTTTATACAAAGTAACCAATATTTAAGGGGTAGGTACACTGCTTTCGCAAAAGCGAATTGTTTTATTTATTTTTGGCTTATAGTTCTTTCGATTTTATCTAATATAGATACTCGTATCAGTTAAAAATATTGCAATATACAAGGTGTCCCAAATATTCCGTGTACACAGAACTAACACAGATTCTCGAAATTAAAAAAAATTGATAAGACAATTTTATTTCTATCCAAAATTGCTTTGTTAACTTGTTACATTAATAGTGTAAAAGTTCGTGGAAAGAGTTCTTATCGGCCGCCAGGAACGGTAAAAAAGGCACAAAGACTTATCTGCAAGCATCAAAGAAAGAGTACTGTGAGGGAAATTACCATGATGTGAAACAGACATTAACATTGTCGGCATTAAAATATTTAAAATATTTGAAAAATTGAAACGGAACAAAACGAAATACCGCCAGACAATATTGAATTAGTAGACCCGGTTGTTGATGAAACAGATTTAGAATTTAAAAAAAAAGATTTACATGTTCAATGTCAGCGTCACTTCAAATATTTACGATTGTTTAAAAAATGAAGAAAATGAAAAATCAGATAAAATTATAAATAGACATCACGTATTAACTTAAGTTTCAATTTCCACAATTTTTCGTGTTGTTAAACAAGGTGTTATAGATCATTGCGTAAAGAGGAAGAGAAAACAAAAATTTAAAAATATCGATGATATGACAAGAGATGTAATTCGGCGGACAATATATAATTTATATAAGGAAAATTGAGGACATAAAAAATTAAAATATGTTGTTGGTCAAATGAACATACGAGGTGTAGCAATTAAGTTCCGGGAATTTAGTATAACTCGGGAACTGGCAACACTGCATCGTACGTCAACATTTGTCTAGAGGGGGGGGGACCTTCCTTATAGGTACAATCCAAGGTTGAAATCGATAGCACGTTTGGTTTGTGTTTTATGCGTATTTTTCAGAAGGAACTTTTTTAGTGGTGTCGTGAAAATGAGTGGTTCACATTACAAGCAACATGTGATTCAATTTTTAGTGAAATCTGGCGAAAATCCCTCGGAAATCCTTCGAAAATTGCAGTTGGTGAATGGAGACGAGTGCATGTCGAAAACGCGTGTTCGAATGGACAAAACGGTTCAAGAAGGGGTGTCTATCGGTAGAAGACAATCTACCTGAAGGAGCTTCTGTCACCTCTCCTATCAACCGTTTGTGAGCGCTGATCACATCTAACTGGCGCTTAAGCATTTGTACATTGTCTGACAAGTTAAACATCAACAAAGAAACCGTTCGTGACCCAAACTCGCCAAGAACGGCTAGATTTTGCACCGCATACCCGATGTTACAACAACAATTGTTCTAAATTTTATCCACCAATGTGTAAACACTTTTGGGTCCGTTTTACTAAGTTTATACGAACTAAGACAAATGTTGTATTGCTTCACCATAACACAAATGCTTCACCAGCATTATTATTAAAGCAATCCAATAAAGCAACCCAATAAAGCATTATTATTATTTATTATTACCATAATAAATAATTGAAACGATATCCATCAGCTTCGAATTGCTATACTCGCTAACCATTTTTGACACTAACTACGAAAAAACTATTGTAAACACCACAGATAACAGGTAAACACTAGCGCAGTGACGATTGTAAAATCGGATTTTAGTATTCGGAGTCGCTGGGGCATATTTCAAATGACGCTAGAGACTACAGTTGTCCAGCTATGTAGTGGTTGAATGTACTATAACTTCAATCATTTTTTCCTCGGAAAGTATAAGGATTTTACAAAATTTTTTTTAATGATATCGACTCAATTTCTCATGCCACATCCATTACCAAATTTTTTTGGATAAGTTGTGAATCACCCTGTATACAAATTATTATTTTTTACCTTAGCAGAAAACTCTTTTAGGGACACCTATGAAACTCATTAAATTTTTTGCTAGGCGTTTTTATACATCTTTAACTGAGTTCGGAAAGAGTATACAGTTGAGGTAAATTTGGAAAATTGCATGAAATTTACAATAAATGTGTAATTTATAATAAATAATGTAATAAGAGCTGTTAATAAAAAAATATATTTTTACCAAAAATTATATCATCTTACTTTGACCCCAAAAATTAGTAGTTCACGTACACGGATTATTAGAACACCCTGTATTATTTCCAAACTTTCGAAAAATATATTTTTCAGGCAAAGATTTCTGGGTTGGCGGCTTAAACCCAGGTCTACTGTGGATTTGGAGCAACAGCGCTAGGCCCGTTAAAGCACCGGGCTCCCACAACAACACGGACAATCCGTCGACTGCCATTAAAGGGGACGGTAGATGTCTAAGACTGGCCTACAACCCGGCTCTCCGGACTTACACTTATCAGGGAACCGACTGCTCCATCAGGTTCAGCCACATTTGCGAACTGCCACAGAAAACGTCGAGCAACGAAATCAGGCGTCTCGGAAGAAGCAGGAGGATATTCAGCGACGAATCATAATAAAGTGTATTAATTTATTTTATTTCATAGAACTATAGAAACACATAACAAATTTGTATTAAGGATAACATAAATATTTATATAAATAACCAAAGATTAAATCGTCGTACTCTGACTAAACTCTTTCAACATACCCAAATCTCTAATCAGCATTTGAAGCGTTTGCCTTGTTTTGGGATAATTCGGATCCGATTCTACGTTCATGCCATCTTCTAAGGCCTCTATTTGTTTCTCGAAATCATCCAGTCGCTCCTCGACTAAAGACTCTTGGTGGATAATGTGTTCCAGGAGATTCAATCGACAATCAGCCGAGTCGATCGCAGCTTCCGGCTGAGGAATGATGGGCCCTGATTGTCCTATGTTGCCGTCCATCAGAGTGCTCAGGTCGAGTTTGGGTATCACGTCTTTCCCGGCTTTCAGTATCATCATCAGCATGGAGTCGTTTTGCGGTTCTTGTTTGTCCAGATCCAGCTCGGTTTTCATGTATTGGTGGTCGTTTTCCAATTTTGGTTTTTTGTCTTCGTGTTCATCTTTGATTTTCTCCGGAAGAGGAAGTTTTTCCCACGCTTTCGACCAAAGGTACAGTTTGGGGTGGTTTTTTGCTCTGAAATATAGAAAAATACAGTTTTCTGATATTTCCTGAAGAGACAAACTAGATAATATGTATTTTGGTTGATTTTCAAGAGAAATTGAATGGGGAAAACCACATATTTCACAACCTATTCATTTTTCATTTTTGGCTCTCTTTTGAATAATTTTCACATTTTTTTTTCATTTTTAGGATCAATGTAAAACAGCTTTCAAATGATGTGTCACGAATGATATTTGACAAATAAGATTTTTAAAGATACACTATTTTTTTTTGTAAATCAACTGTTTCGTAATTCATAATACAATTAAGTGTGTTATGCATTTTTTTAATCAATATCTCACTTTAATTATAACATGAAACAATTAAATGCATATATATTTGGTGTCTAATATCTTTGAAAAATATTTTTGTTCAGATATCATGTTTCACACAATTTGAGGTAGATTTAAAAAATTTAATAATACTTCGGTGTTCCATTAAAAAAAAGTAAGTTTGCATTATAACTCAAAAACTTGAGCGATCAAGAAAAATATCTATAAAGAGAAAATTTTCAAAAATAAATTATTTGATATTACAAAAGTCAAAAAAGAAACTAGTCAATTCAAAAATCTAACCCGGGACATTTGAACTACTTTTTTCTATCTTCTTGGAGTACTATTGAATTTAGTTCTTGTACACTTTTCACATATTTTGTTGTGTAATTAATAATACAAACTAAATATACTATGTTGGCAGAAAAACAAGAGTAAGAAATCTAATTCAATTAAATATAATGTGAATATCTTTGCTCCAATACCAAAATATAAGGATAAATGTAATAAAATGATTCTGTAATATGCAATTCTTTAACGAAACTGTCCAAAACATTTCGCTTACATTAAAATATGGTTAAAGTGTAAAAAGGCAAAAAAGCAAAACATGTGGCAGGAAAAAAATTATAATGATGTTAAATGTATCTACAGTGAAAATTGACATTGATTTATACGACATATTGGATATAACGACGGAATTTGGAAGTTCTCTATGACTTTTTGGATTTAGCGACACGTTTGTATATACATTTACCATAAAATCTATGGGTTATAACAACCAATAGTGATTATACAGCCTTAAAACCAATGCACCGCTGTTCCGCCCGCCCCGCCGGCATCCACGCTTTTGACACCAGTTAGTACGTTTGGGACAAATTACGACTTATCTATGCATACAGTTATACTACATACAGGGTGTTTGTAAATAAATGCGAAATATTTTAAGGGGTGGTTGCCGAAGTTATTTTGTGAAAAAAAGTTCATATAAGTTCGAGTCAATATCTTGAAAACTCTGAAATAATTAATAAAAATAAATAAAAAATTAAAATTTAAATACTCTGTATCTCAGAAACGGAGCATATTTCGACCTAAGTTTATATAAACTTTTTTTTCACAAAATAACTTCGGCAACCACCCCCTAAAATAATTCCCACTTATTTACACACCCTGTATATGTATTAATTACCACATTCTATCACGATCTTGAAGAGTTTAATAAAAAAGAAAAGTCACATATAATATAGAGATTAAAAAACAGAGAAACCAATGCAGGCAAGAAAAAGAATGTAAAGAATAAAATAAAGTTTCTATTCGAAAACAATTAATTGAAAATGAAGCACGCGAGATCTTTTGAACACAAAGCAATACATGTACATACTTAAAGACTTGCATTGTAAATTTCTCATTTTTTCTATAAAAATTTGAAATAAAATATATTATATTATTGCTTATTATGTCTATCGGTTATAACGACCGTAAACAAACGATTCCTTGAAGGTTGTTATAACCGATTTTTACTGTATATCTGTAAAATTAACTGATTTTATTTTAAAAATGAACTTCCAACATTCAAAAAAATTAAAACTGCAACCCTACAGAAATATACAGGTGCCAAAATTTTTACCCCATAAGTCATCAAAAGCAGTAACTTTTGCCCAATAATTTTTCTTAAAAAAATGTCTAGATTTTTAGATAATTTACTTTTTTAAATTTTAAATTTTTTTTACATGACTTTGGAGCATAAATCAAAATGCTTAGTTAAATGAATAATAAACAAAAAGATGCAGAATTCGGTTACTACAGAAAATTAATAAAATTTATTATAAACCAGGTAAGCAAAAAAATAATCAAAAGTAAACCGTCAAATTTTTTTCTCATCGAAAAAAAAAACATTATTTGGGTAGGTTCACACTTATTTAACCAAATTAAGTTGCAACAAATGTTGAAAATGTCCTCCGCTACTGTCAAGCTATAGTTGTACACAGGATTGAAAATTTTCTTAGAGCTCGCACTAGCATTTTCGGATTGTTGCAATTATTCTTGCTGCATTCTTTATTCATTCTCATAGTTCAACAGCCCTATTAATTGGTGTAGAATATACTACCTATGTCAAATGACCCCATAAATAAAAATCACACAGAATCAAATGTTGCAATCGGGCGGGTTATGCAACAACAATTGGAAAATTTCAACCAATCCACCTCAATAATTTGGGGATTGTGTCAAGAAACACCATCATAATCTTACCACGTTTCGACAAATTTCCAGCAGAATATCATCCAGAAAATCATTTAATATTATTAGTTAAAAAGTATAAAATTCTTTGACCATTTGACCGCTCTAGTACAACGTTAAGGTTCAATGAACTATTCGTTTACTATTCTGGCCCACATTTTACTGGAAATCTCTGCAATACTTTTTGTACATGGTACGGGTATAAGTGCTATTCTTTTAAAATACAAATTGAACTTTTTGATACATTGCACTGTAAAGAACTTTATTAGTGTCAGTTCCAGGATCATTCGCAACTCTCCAAAACTGCATCTTAAATGTTCACAGTATGATTCGTCTGTTGTCAACAGCGGTTTTAAAGTTTACCGTTAAAAGACTCATGATTCCAAAGTTCCTGAACAACATGAACAAATAAATGCGTTGCTATCTAGTTTTCACCTTAAGCTAACATTGTATCAACATATTCACTATTTGTAAAACTCGACATGATGCACAATCACAACTGCTAATACCTCGTCACACTTTTTACACCTGACATGGTGTCTAGTAGAAAACTTTAAGATACTGAATCATTGCATAAAGCATTACATACCTTACTTAGATATGTCTTTAATCCGTAGGTGTCTCATTAGTGTTATTTTAATGAGTAAAAAATACTGGACAAAATTGTGAGTTTCCAAAAAAGAAATTATAAAAAAGTTGTAGCTTTTGACAAGTTAAATATATGGTTAAAATATTGGCATTTATTTCTGGGATATAGAGACCGATGCAAAATTAGAAAATATAAATACAATAGAACACTTACTCTGCAATTTTCATTTTAATACTGAGGCTGTGCATGTATTCCCTCAATTCGAGTAATCCCCCAGACAAATCGTGACACTTCTTCAGCTTCTCGAACCGTTTCTGCACGGCCTCCTCGTCCTTACTATGGTAACTACCCGTGGGAAGCGTACCCTGCTTCAACCAGTCCTGATCGTGGAAATACTTCCTGGACATCCTCTCCCTTAGAGGATGCTGACATATATAGCAGACGTACTTCTCGGGAACCTGGCTCTCACGCTCGATGTTGTTGCAGTAGGCGTGCTGCCAGCACAGACACAGCTCGCACTGGATCATCAGGCCGTCCTCTTCGGTGAAGCCGCAGGTGCAGTTGATGATCTCTTCCTGCCGCATCCTAACTATCTTTATAACCTCACCACCTTCAATAATTATATCGTTAGGCGGTGGTTGCGGTGGTGGCTGTTGTGGTAGTTGTTGTTGTTGTTGTTGTGGCTGTGTTTCGAGGGGTGTTGTTGATGGTGGTTGAGTTGATGCGGGGGGCTGAGAAGATGGTGTTGTGGCGGTGGGTGGTGGGTTCTCTTTACCTTTCACGATCTCGATGTTCTCGGAAATCCTCCGTTTACGTTTGACAGTCGGTTTCGGAGGTTCCTCGACGTTCGTTTCCACGTTCGAACTCCTCACCACTGGTAGCAGAGTTTTGATGCCGACGGGAGGTCTGGTAGTGCAGAGAGTTTTCAAGTTGATATCGTCACGTTTCGGCATAGCTTCCGACTTGTTTAAAAGATCCTTAAGTTTGATATCGGGGTACATGTTTGTTGGTAAGCCAGGCGGTAGAGCTTGCACGGTCTCCGATTCGCTCTTTTCGAATGGCTTCGCACTTAACAATTTTATAATCTCTGCATCCTTCGCTTTCGATAGAGCCGGCGACTGCGGCTTGATGGCGGGTTTAAGTTCGGGTGGTTCCGAAAGAGGAGAATTGGGCTGCTTTGGTGTTTTCGGAGTTGATGTTCGAACGGCTTGCTTCAGGGGTGGGGGCTTTGAAGGGCCCGGAGATTTATCTAAGTTTTCGCCAACGGTGCGAGCGTAAGCTAAATCAGCTACATTTGGTGTAGAATCTAAAAATTTTGTGTATTCCGGGTGGTAATGTTTGACGTGCATTTGCGCTAGGTTTTCTCTGCGGAAATTTTTGCCGCAGCCCTCGATTGGACACTTGTATGCATTGTCTTCAAAAAGGATCCTCAAACTTTGGTTATTAGCTGAAATCAATTAATTTAAGTATAACAAAATAAATATTTCATACAAAAATAAATGTCAAAATGTGATCGAATGCATATCGCGATTCGCCATTTTTCCCTAAAACGTTGCGTTTTACGAATAAAATATCAAGACAAAAAAGTTTCTAAATTCAATGGTAACTTCAAAGTGTCTTAAGGGGGTTTCCCGCCAAAAAGCATAGCACTATCAGATTCCACATGTCATAAAACCTCTGTGTACCAAATTTAGTGATTCTCGTACAATAGGGTTCTGAAATATAAAAAAAAAGATTATTCTTAGGGGGCGGACTTCAGGGGGCTGTAAGTCCGAAAGAGGGTGCCACTTGGCAAAAATAAAAAAATACGAGTCACCTAAATTTGTTTTAAGAATCTATGAGCAAATTTTGATGCATTAATTTCAGGACACCCTGTACAAATTCTTTTTTCAATTTCATTAAAAACTATTACTTCATACAGTTGCGCCTTTTTCATAAACTGAAACTAAATTAAATGTAATAAAATGAAGCATTGGCAATATTAGGCTATTCTCGTTTTGCCGAGTTAACGTTGACTGTTTGTTTTTTGCCCACCTATCGTCTTGTCACATCACATCAGATAGATTGATATTTTGTAGTTCGTCCATTACAGTGAGATTCAGAAACTAAACACAGTACTTTAAAAAAATTGTAGCAAATACTTTTTAGTAAGAATTTAAAATAATTTTAAAAAATAAGTCTATCAGACTAATAAGTATTTTTATCAATTTTTTTATTATAGACATTTTATAAAACAGCAAAAATAATAATTTTAAACCATAAATCGGTTTTATTTATTACGTAATTTATGGCTATGCCTCATATTAGTTAATATTTAAAAATCTTGAAAAAATAAACAAAAACACTTGAAATTTTTACACTGACAAGCGAGCTCATATAATCGAGTTTGGAAGCTGCCCAGTGGCGGCACAGACAAGAATTTAAAGCAGTTTAAAAAACAAATTAATACTTGACTATTTATTATTATTACCACTAAAAAACTGATCCCCACTTAAAAGTTATAGCCTATATTTTAACTTATAGTCAGTTGTGTGGTATTTTAAACTAGTTGCATTAGCAGATTTAATCGGATTTGAACATACTGGTATTACCAAAAAAGTCATACTATTGATCCCTAAAAGTAAGTTACCTTCTTCGTTTGTCAGTTCAGGAGGCTCCGACTGCTGCTCTTGAACAGGAACAGGCTCCTGCTGTTCAGGTTCAACGGCTGCTTTTTTAGTGGTTGCACTGCCAGACTTTCTCTGGCGCCTAGATGTCAGGCTAAAATCGAACATTTGCTCGGTTATAGCCAAAGTTGGATTCTGTTCGATAAAATTCCTAATTTCCCCTTTAGACCTAAATTTACGGTTTTCCGGACTGAAAAAAATGATAAATATATTTACAGTGCACAGAATTTACCAACATCATATTACCTAACGATAATTGTATCCCATTTTCCGGTGGCCGAACCATGTGTCCTGCGAACTAGATGTTTGCTCCAACCATGCGGTAGTCGCGGATCAGGAACAATGATTGAATTCTTTGGTCCATCACTTGTCTCAATAGTAGATTCAACTCCGACTGGCTTACCTTTATACCAACTACAAATATGTAATAATTATTACCAGTCACTTGTTAAAAAACATTTGCCTTACTGAGGTGTCCAGTTAGCGTCGTCATATGAAGTGGAAGTAGAAGTTTCCGGAGCAGTTGTAGATTTTTTCAACTTTTCTTCGACATTTTCTACCCTCGGTCTCTTCCTGAACAAAGCAGCGACATTGAGCTTTCTTTTTTTATCCCTCCGATCTTGCTTGCTGCTTTTGATGGGATCGAAAAGGGGAGAAGATTGCAAGATTTTTCCTTGTGCCTTACTCATCCGATGCGCCTTTAATGTTTTTACAAAGCCATCATCAAAGAGAACCTCGTATGTATCTAAGGAAAATTGCCAATTATCAAATTATATATAATTTACTTATATAT